GAAAAAAAAAAAAAAAAAAAAAAAAAAAAAAAAAAAAAAAAAAAAAAGTATACAATTTGAGAGTTCTGACAGATATATAGGTCTGTGAAACTGTGGCCACAATTGAGAACATTTCAATCACCCCCAAAATTTCCTCGTGCTCCTTTGCAATCCATCTCTTCCTCCACCCTTGGCCCCAGGCAATTACCCATCTGCTTTTTTCACTATAGATTAGTCAGTATTTTTTACAATTTTATATAAAGAGTCATTCAATATGCAGCCTTTTGTATCTGACTTCTCTCACTTAGAATAGTATTTGTGAAATTCATCCATGTTGTTTTATGTTCTATAGTCTGTACCTTTTTATTACTGAGTAGAGTAATATGAGTATACCACATGTTGCATAACCATTCACCTGCTAGTGGACACTGACATAGTTTCCAGTTTGAGGCTATTATGAATAATGCTGCTATGAACATTCATATACAAGTCTCTGTGAGGACATATGCTTTCATTTACCTTGGATAAATACCTAGGAGTGAAATGCCTGGGTCATACATGGAATACAGGTTTAATTTAAGAAACTGCCAGATTCCCAGAGTGGCTTTACAATTTTACATTCCTGCCAGCAGCATATGTGAGTTTAGAATTTTTCCACATCTTCAACAACATTTGATATGGTCACATTTTTAACTGTCCTAATGGATGTGTAATGATATCCCCTTGTGGTTTTAATTTGCATTTCCCTGATAAGTAATAATACTGAGTCTCTTTTCATGTGTTTGTTATCCATTTGAATACCATATTTTGTGAAATATCTGTTAAAAATCATTTGTCCATTTTTTATTGGATTGTTTATCTTATGAATGAATTGCAAGAGTCCTTTATAAAGTCTATATTTACATAACATAGATACAAGTCCTTTGTGAGATATTTACAAACAGTTTCCCCCATTCTATGAATTCCTTTATGGTTCATAGATTTTGTACCCGAAGAAATCTTTGCCTACCCCATTATCACAAAGATTTTCTCCTACGTGTTCTTCTAGAAGTTTTATAGTTTTAGAAGAAGTCATTCTTAGAGAAAAACATAATGGTATGTTTAGATTCTACACTTTCTCACCTTAATTATATTAAAAATTTTAAAGGAAACTAGCCTTTGATGCCACTATTACTCTTTATATTTCTACATAAAAGAAAGGCATGTTACATAGTTATATAGAAGCTTTCATATTACTCAATTTTGTGTTATTTCTTCATACTTGCTTTTTCATCCCAAAATATTTTGTTTCCAAATTAACTAATACACTAAAATAAATACTATAATCAGCTTTTATTTCTTTAGTAGGTCAAATGAAAACCTGTTATAAAATTTTAAATATATTTATCAGAAAAATAACTTGATATAAATCAAGAAGAACTACATACAACAAAATTGTATATAAAAATACATAAAATATTTTATATAGCAGACATGAATGAGCTTAAAAGAATAAACTATTTGCAATTAAAATCTCACTATTTTCTATGATCATCAAATGAATACCTAGAAAACACAGACAGATATACTCACTGGAGATAGTGCAAGTATACACAGCTTAATGTGACAGTGTACTTCTCTATTTTAGAGGTCAACCATCCTTACAGGAATGCAAATTATAATAAAATTATTACTGAGACTCCAAAAAATTCCTTAGACAATAAATCATTATTCTTACTCTCTGCTTCTTTTCTCTCCTTTTTCCATTTCCTATTCATAACTAAATCCATCAGCTGTACCCAAGGGGCTTTGCTTAAGCACCCTAACCTGATTTCAACTCTAATGTGGAAAAAATAAGGTACTAATAATTATTAACATGCAATATCAACTATCACAATAGCTCCAGGGAAGTTGCTTTTGGTTCAAGCAGCACCAAGTTTTTCTCTTTCAGCCAGCTTCTAAAAATACCTATCTCAAAGCTTTTATGAACTCTAGAAAACATGATTCCTACCTTAGAAAGTGCCTCGTCATGAACGACTGTATTGGTTGTTAAAAGAACAAGAACTGTTTGAAGTAACTTAAGTTCTTCAAGACTATTTTCCATTAGCTGCCAAAGCATGTTAATTATATTTCCAGCAGCAGTCTGTAAAATAATTATTTTAATTATTGTCAACAAATAAAATATAGGTGGTTTAAGTCCTCACTTGGAGAAAATTTCTTTTCTTTTTTTTTTTTTTTAAAAGATGACCGGTAAGGGGATCTTAACCCTTGGCTTGGTGTTGTCAGCACCACGCTCACCCAGTGAGCAAACTGGCCATCCCTATATGGGATCCGAACCCGGGGCCTTGGTGTTGTCAGCACCGCACTCTCCCGAGTGAGCCACGGGCCGGCCCGAAAATTTCTTGATCACAGTGACAAAACCATATTTTTAGATCTACAGATCCAAACACACTCTCAACTAATTTTGGACTTCGACCAATTAATCTTCTACTCAAAAAATTTCTTTAAAATGTACTATTCCATTCAAATATGCAAATAGCAGAAGGCAGTTCTGAAATACCTAGTCAAAATGCTCATTTCTACAATAATATAGGTATATTTCATTTGGACATGAATAATATGGACACATACAAATTAACTAGGAGTCGCTCTTTCTTTAATATTACTTCACCTACAATAAGTTATAGAAAAAACAAAACGCAACCAAAATTAACAACACATTTGTACACTTAATTAAATCTGACATTTTTAGGATGCTATACTAAGGGCAAAAGAACTTACTACTTTTATTATTGTAACTTGTGGAGTATAAAATTAAGATAACACCATTAAATTTGAAAGCAAGATACAAATTCACAGTAATGAAATGTTTTTCTTGTTTTGCCATCACAAGCTTAGATACAAAAAACACATTTAAGTAATTACGTTAACAAATTATCACTTCAGATAATCTAGGAAACAGAGTCATGATTTTTCCCGCCCACCTTTTAAAAAGAATTGTAAATTATATTAAATAACTATTCAGTGATATTGAAAATTGGCCTGATTCTCAAAATTATCATCTATGATACTGAATGGTGACTTCTTAGATTATGAATAACTTGACAAAATGCACTTCAACTATATTCATTATTTATGTTTAATATGGAGACAATTTGGCAATATTTTAAAATTAAGCTGTTTCCTTCAGGCACATTGCTAGTCATAAAATTGTTTTATATTAAATATCAAGTATGCTCCATTATCCCCTTATGAAAACTCCTGATTTGACTCAAGTGCAGTTAAGATAAAATGTTCATATTACCTCAGACACGATTTCATGTGACATGAGTCTCTGGATGGCAGCCAAACACAGCTGAGTGATCTTCGGTTCCTTGGTTCCACAACCCATTAGAAAAGGCTGTACAACCTCTGAGCTGTTCTCTTTCAATGCTTTATTTAAAACACATACAAAATAAATTATTAAATCTAATTTATAACTGGGAATATATTTTTATATAATTTCAACCAGTAATGACAATCTTAAATAAAACCACTTTATGTAAGATAAACACCAAAATAAAAATCAAGTAGTAAGAGTTCAAATACTTGAGATAGATACTACAGACCGTAGGTAAACTATACCCCTCAACTACAGCGTTCGCGTGCCTTTCTCCTAACACCCTGTCCTTTGGTTCTCCTCCATCTTCTGCTATAAACTCTTCAAGGACATGTATTCTAAGAAGTTCTATCCTGCCTCAGAGAAGTACTCTATTTCTTCATAAAGTGCAGAAGGGAAAAGATAAATAAGAATTCATACTCTAGAGCAGAAAAAGTAACTAAAAATAGTATCATCCCCACCATACTTGTGAATGAATATAAGAAACTCCCTAGAATTTTATTATGTGACTTGAATTTACAGAGCCCAAATTTCTGCTCCAAGAAATAAACACATCTCAATAAAAACAATAATATTACTCCTCTTACTACTGAACAGTATCTTCAATTAATTGACAATACTTGCAATTTTGACAACTAGGGTGACATTTTAATTAGCAATTAATTGGATACACATGCTGTAGTTCCAAACCTTAATTTAACTCCTTCTACCAAGCGAATACTCTCAGAAGTTTTAAAGTGACAACAAAAATGTAAGAGGTCAGAAAATGCAGAAACGGAATTATACATAATTAAATTTACAAAATGAAATTAAATCAATACACACGTACTGAAAGGCTATACAAAGATAAGTAAGACAGGTTTGTCATCAGTGAATTCTAATAAATAACACAAAATTCCAAGTCAAGAGAACATTAAACTTATGAGTTTGATATTCATTTCCAAATGTACTAAATCCACCAATTATTTTTTGAGGCAAGGCATGTAATAAAGACATATAAATCTGAGTTTTAAAATGTTTTTCAAAAAATATTGAGAGAAAATCATCCAGAATCACCATCAAAAGTGTAAAACCAGTGTTAACATCTATTCTATCATTTAAATCTCACTTTTTTTCTCCCAAAGCTCTCTTTATCATATGGTAAATTAAGACTACAACTTCCTACAGCATCCTCTGCAAAGTCCCTCAGTATGCCAGCATAGATTACTGACTTAGCACAGTTAAGAGATGGCAAATATGACTGGCAAAGAACAGTGTTTCCAAAAGGGGTCCCTCTCCTTATTTCCTTGCTTTCTTGTGCACAAAAGTTTTGATTCAAACCTAGAGACATAAACTTTTCATAACAATTTCTCAAAATATTGATATGAATGACTAAAAGATGATCATAAAGCTCATCATAAGGCTTTAACAAAGTAACTAAATATCCTACCATATTCAATCCTGCCAGAATCACTGAAGTATGAAGCTACCCCTATCTTCTTAAGTTTTTGAAAGTAACAAGTTGCGTTTATAATTTTTATGACATTAACATGTGTTTTGCATTTGAGCATCACAATAATCTTACAGAGATTATAGGGCATGATTTGGCCCCAAATGATACAGGAAGTAGATGGTAAAGCCAGAAGTTGAAAATATGTCTTCTAACTCCTGGTACACTATTCTTCCTACAATATTATGCTTCCACACTTTAAGGTAAACAGCACCTCAATGATAATGGAAGTTAAAAAGGGACCCAATGATCTGCACTTTAAAGGGAACCTGTCTTCATAAAAGAAAAAACAATTCACTTTCATATAGTCAAAGATACCAATGATTTTAAGACAAACCCATAATATCACAAAGAAAATCAGTGCCAATTAAACTATGACACAATGCTTTCTAATCACTTAGAATTTTTCTTTACAATTTCATTCGCTTGGCCATCAAGAGCATTAGGGATGCCTCATTTCTTGAAAAAATACTTCGCTATTGTCTCTAAAATTTTCTTCTACATCAATGACACCCATTCTGCATGTTCTGATGCTGGTGCTTTTTTGATCTTACCATAAGATGTTAACAGAAAGTTTTTGATAACTAGGGTGACATTTTAATTTGCAATTAAACTCAACACATGTGGTATCAACGATACATGTAACTCAACTGATGTGATAATAATATGAACTATGAACAAGTTCATGCACACAACAAAAAAGAAAACTACACCACTTCCTGGCTCACAGTGATTCTAAGATGCCATCAATTTGTAAAATGCATACCAATCTGTGAGATGTTAAAAGGCAAAAAGAACTGTGCATCTTAGAATCAATCAAACAAGGTGAGTCACAGTAAAATGTTGAATGCATGTCAGTAACAGCCAGGTCTATCAAGCTGAGATAAACTTAAGGTAGTAATAAAAATAATTTTTAAGAACTTTATTTTAATGTAACTCAAAGGAATCAAACACCTATTTCTTGTTTCTTCCCACTTTTTTCTCCCAATTTATATGAAAATATAATGGTCAAAAAGGAAGTTTCTATGTTATCCAGAACAGATGATCAATAAAATAATAAAATCTACTTATCTATCATAAGTCTTTTGAGTCCACCATATCTAGATCACAACTCAGGAAGAAAAAAAATCAAAAGAAAAAAATGTTAAAATCACACTGAGGAAAAGGATGTACAGCAATACAGACAGACATGTTGCTTTAACCATTTTATATGTCATTCCAAAAAAAATAGAAAAAGGTTGATTCTTTTTCATCAAAACTCTCTATTTCAGTTTCCATTAAAATACTAAAACAGGTTTTAGGGGGAGTAAAGAAAAAATTTATTTTCCGCCTAAGTCCCTTAGTAAGCATAACTCTTTAATAGAGTAACACTTAGTGTTTGATAAATATTGTATTTCCAAGTTATATAACTGTGAGATCAAATGATGCACTTCCACACACCTGAAAGAGGTCCAGCAGATCCCCATATCCTAGGGGTTTCCTTGCTCTGAGCAGTTTCACTGCATAATTGCAGTTTTTATCCTGGAAAAAAAGAATTAGACTAGGAAACCCCACTATGAATCACATTAACAGGGGCTAATAAAAGTTTTATTGTTATAAATTTTAACATCCATTAAATAAAAAATTTTAATTCTTGCGAAAGAAAATGTGACTTAGACATTATTTCCATCCTCAAAACACAGACATTATTTCTATCCTCAAAATATCAGTCTAAAGAAGACTGATATTCCTAACATTAAAAAATTTAGAGGGTTCAAAAGGTCTGAAAATATATTTAAATGATTTGAGAATAAGAGGACAAATAAAAGTATATAGGCAGTTTCATATTAAAAGCACATTACAGAAAAGGGAAGGATTATTCAACAAACGATGTTGGTACAACTGGTTAGTAATTTTGCAAAAGAAAAATATCTAGATCCTCACATCACCCCATATATTACCAATTAAGAAAAAAAATCCAACCATAGAGAAACTAGAAGAAAATAAAAATGACTATCAACTATGTGGAAGGAGAAGGGCAACAAAAGAAATGGGAAAAATTATTTAGATTATGTAAAAATGAAAAGCATCTAGATAAAAATATTAAAAGATAAATAGCCTGAGGAAAATATGATATAAACATGGTGGGAAGTTAATATTTTTGCTATATAAATAGCTCAAACAATTTGGTAAGGAAAACACAAAAACTCAAAGAAATTAATGTAAAATGAAAAAAGAAAATAATTTAATGTATACAGAGAAAAATGTTCAACATCAAAAAGAAATGTCAGTTAAAATGGTAAGTAATTTGCCTGTTCAACTACCAAAAAGATTTTTTAAAATAATAATCCTGGGAAGGATGTTATAAAAATACTCTCACATTTTGTTGGTAAAGGTATAAACTTCTACTTTTTCATAAAGCAGTATGGTAATACATTCTAAGAATTTTAAACATTTCATACCCTTTAACTTTATAATTTCAATTCTAGAAATTTATCATAAAGAAATAATTATAAATATCAAAACACACCTAACATAAAGGTTATATAAACCACAATCCACTTGCTGAAATTCTGTACAGCAATTAAAAACATTTAAAAAGATGGCATCAAAGAAAAATACTTATGATACAATAAGAGACAGGAAAGAAATTAACATTTTTCAAAAATCTAAGGAAAAAAAGAATCTAAGAGTACATTATACTGTAGACAAGTTATGCAATCTTTCTGGGCCAACAGGTCAAACTTACGAACATGGCGTTAGTTATTGCCCCCATATCTTTCAGACTGAATTATAGAAATAACCTCCCAATAGACTTCTGCATTAGTGATGATACACTGAAATATATCCTCCAAACTGCTGTCAGAGTAATTTACTAAAAATATAAATATGAACCAGTCACTTCCCTGATTCAAATTCTTTCCCATCAAGCAGCTCAGGATATCACATAACGGCCCTTATGGTCTCCCTGACACCGATTTCCCCTTCATACTTTATGGTCAGGCAATACTTGAACAGTATATACAAATACACTAAGCTGTTTTATACCTGTTGCATTTGTTTAAGTAGTCCCTTTACTTTCTGCTTCTACACTTTATTTGCCTGGCTAATTCCTCTTCAGGCTTCAAGACTTAGCTTCAGATTCCCAGGCTTGATTAGTTGTCGTTCCTACGTTCCCATGGCAACCCTGTCTATAATTCCATTTTGGCATTAACCACACAGTATCAGAATTCTATGTTTAGTGTCTGTCTCCTTCATTACTCTATTAACTGGTTGACATGAAGTAATGATGACAAAATTTATACATTCACGTAATTATAATGCATAAAACTAAAGAGAGGTAGTAAAAAATACTAGAGACAGCACTAGAAAACTTACTCGCATCTCTTGGTATTATTCATTTATTAGCCTACGTTTAATAAGGGCTTATTATTTCTCATGTAATGTGCTAAATATTGGCAATATAAGGAAGCATGAGATGTTGATCCTGACCTCAGGGAGTATGTCATCTGGAAAGGAAAGTTTCCGGCAAAGGACTTCAAAAGGCAAACAAAGGAGCAGGTAAGCTAAACAGAATGAATGGCACAAACATACTTTTGAAGTATGTTTCTTGTATTTCTATATAGATTACAGATGAATTTCATTACCCATTGTTATATCTCCGATAGTGACTCTTACACAATCATGTACTTATCAGGAATATGCTGCATGATATACTCTATAGATTTTTGTAAAACATCACAAGTGCATGTACTGATAAGATAGAATACATTAAATAAAACAAGCACATAAATTACCTTTTAATGTCAGAAAAAATTCCAAAGTATATTTACTCATTGCTGTTTAAATTAGAGAACTTTTAGTTATAAGACCATGTAGATAAGAAAAAGATGAGGGAAAAACCACATGAGAAAAGACACAAATCATACATAATGATTATTTATGTAAAAATTCTATATGTATATGACAGCAACTGAAAGCAGCCACAGGTAGATGTAACCATTATGGTTTGGGGTAGGGGGGTTAAAAATACAATTTAAAAAGATGTCACAAATTTATTGATTTACTTGTTACAAATACATACTCAAAAAACAGATTATGTAATTTTTGTCTAACATGTCTTCTCAACTTCTGGTATGTATATTATAAGCTAGGATAATAAGCACTATTTGTAACATATAGTAGTCAAAGTTAAGATTAAGGCTTTTGGCCTTGTAAATGAAAAACTTTTTGTTGCTATCTCTCATTTGCAAAGTCTTATCTTTATCGAAAAAGGAAATTTTGAGATAATGATCTGTATATCTGAATCAATGCTGACATTACCTGGCATAGCATTCCCACTTATGTCAGCATTCATGACAGCAGTGAAAACAAAGAAAATAAATATTAAAGGAGGATGCGTAAAAGAAGGGGAGATGTAAAGCAAAGATTTATTCTGCAATGTAAATAATCTTCCCTTGGAAAATAAATTGAGCAAAACTAAAGTGGGCTAGAAATCTATGCTGAATATCAATAATTAGACCAGCTGATCTTACAGCAACCCTTTATATTTTCTGAATATACAAAGACATGAGAATTCCCTATCCCATCTCATTTGAGACATCTCAGTTCTTTTGTATCTTCGACATCCATTACAACACAAAAGTAGTATCCTCTAGTCTCCTGTAGTCTCAAATACAAGAAAAAGTTACCTAAAATTTTTTCTCATTATTTCTGTACTCTGAATTAACTATGTAGTTTAGAAACTACATACTGACTAACTTAAACTTTATTTTTAAGTGCCTTTGATTTTCAATATGGCAGTGTTCTATAAATCTATAATTTTTAGGTATCAATTGCTATAAATACTTGGTAAAAAATACTAGGAGAAACTTTAAATGCTAATATACTGCCTCAAGTACCTGGCTATGAATACTACGGAGATTAAAGCATGAACTATTAATTGTATGTGCATAAAGATCAGTTCTAACTTGATTTGAATAAAGCTAATTGAATTAGAATGAAATTAACAGTCCACCTGTATACTAAATTCACACCAAGTCAAAATTTTTATTTGTCCTTAAGATTAACTAACTAAACATTTTATTTGGTATAGAACATTGGAACAGACAATGATCCTCTGAAGAAATGTCTTTTAAAAATCTTCCATCAACTACAGAACCAATGAAAACTTCTATTATTGGAAAATAATTAAGGACTTACCATGACATCAGCAATGATAATAACAAAGGTAAATATTTACAATGATATTCTAATATGACTGGTCTATGATAAGTATTCAACTTAAAAAATCAAGTTCATAATTTATCTTTAAACCTAACTTCCCAACAGTAGCTAATCAGCCCAATATGTATCTCTCAAAACCTGCTTACCCACCTTCCCATCACAACCATACACACCTTTGCCTTTACTTACAATTTTCACTACACCCCTTCTCAATATGAATACAGAGCATTAATCACTGCTATGAATAAGGCTATAAAGCTATTTGGTGTTTTGACAGACTTTTCAAAATCATAGAAGAAGCAGTGAGAAACAAATGTAATTTAGGAGAGCTAAACCTAAGGACAAATTTCCAGCAAAGCTGGGTAGCCTAAGTGAAATCCACTCTTGCCCCCACCTAAAACTGCCCCGCAAAATCTTCATTTCATTTTGTAACATTCTGAAATCCCACCAGTTAGGGATTTATTGGTATCCTTTTTTAAAAACCAATTCAGGATTTATTGGCATCCTTTTTTAAAAAAGTAAAGTATGAGAAAGATATTCTTTACTATTTTGACTTTATGTAAATTAACAGGACTGCTTTTCTCTTACAGTAGCTGAGATCAATAGCACTACTGGAACTGGAAGTGAAGTAAGCAATAGTTAAGTATGAAACACTTGGGAGGGAACAGCTAGTGGGGAAACCTTACAATACCATGGCAGCACACTTCAGCAAGAAGAACATGGGCTCTGAACACTCCTGGATCTGAATCTGATTCCACCACTTATGTGACCTTGGGCAAGCAACTTAATCTCTTGGCATCTCAATTTTCTCTACTATAAAATAAGCTGATATTTCCCTACAAGTTGTTTTATGTAAGATGTTTGGCATAAGTGCCTCACATAAAACAGATTCTCAAAAAAATGCCACTTTCCCTCTTTTCCATGTTCATTACTGAGGCAAGAACAGAGGGAACCAAAGAAGAGAAAGGAGTAAGCTGAACACAAACCATAAATAATGATTACTCCTCTTCAGGCTTCAAGAAGCAGAGAAATGATGCCAAAGACAAACTCTTGAAAATTCCTCCTTAAAAACTAGGTTCAATTAAGAGAAGGTAAGAAAACACCTTTGCTTTCTTTTCTCCACCGCCCTCCCATTCTTTCTTCATGACCATGTTGCCTTCATCCCTGGACTCAAAACTCATATGGTACACTAAATATACAATACTACATTATGAACTGTTTATATTATATTAAAGATAAACAGATCTTAAAAGGTGGATGGAGAATTGATTCTTTCATTCAATTCAATGCAACAAATATTAATTGAATGCCTTTTATGGGTAAGGTGTATATTAGGTGATTGGCCAGAAGTGGAGGAGAATGCAAAGATGAGTAAGAAAGAAACCTTGCCTTTAAGGAGTTAGTAGTTTAAACTTTCTGATTTCAGAGAATCTTATAATATTCTTCTCTGGGAAACACAATCAGTTCACAAGTTAGGGACTTTTACATGTTCTGTATCATTATGAATAGCATGTTAGGGCATGAGGAAGAGATGTTACAGAAAACTAATAGTTTCTTTTAAAGATTCTACTTTACTATTAGTCAAATTTTCATTAATTGTTCAATTTTTAATGCAAAAAATTACCTGCCAAAATTTCGGTGTTTCGTGCAGCTATTGTTTTAACTTTTATTATTCCTGATTCAGCAGCCTGCAAGAATAAAAATAATTAGAACATAAAACTTACTATCAACATGAGTTATCTATCATATTGATAGATAAAATCTTAAGCACAAATAGAGTCAGTCACTATCATCTTTTATAATTTTCAAAATACCAGATAGTAGTGACATATACATTAAATGTAATAAGATATGATTATTTTGATTACTCACATGCAAACTCTGCACTACAGCATGTTGCCTACCTCTGCCTTAAGGCATATGTGGAATACCTCACCCCCTAAGAATTTAAATGTTCAGAAAACAAAAATAAACAAAACCAAAACCTAATGAAAAAATTAGGTTCCTCTTCCGCACTTTATACCTCCCTTCCCCTGACCACAAAAAAAGCTGCAAAACACTACAAAATCAAGTAAAACTACTGTTTTGGATTAAAACATTCTCTTTTTTGAGAATGGATAACCAAGCACTTTGTTATTACTTTTCAGTTATACTTTTTAAACACTCATTTCAGTTTTCATAATGTGTTCATCATAGTATGTTTAGCTGACAATACTAGCAAGTCAGATAGCATTTTACAGAATACCACAGAAATGCACTGTCCAACATGGTAGGCTACCTGTGGCTATTAAGCACTTACTATGTGGCTCATCTGAATTGAGCTGTGCTCTAAGTGTAAAATACACACTAGATTTTAAAGGCTTACTGTAAAGAAAGAATGTAAACCATCCCTTAATATTTATATTGACTACATGCTGAAATGATTAGATTTTGAATATACAGAATAGAATTAAATCGAATACATTATTAAAATTAAATGTGTCCTTTTTGCTTTTTTAATGCAATTTAAAATTACATATATAGACAGAATTTGTGGCCCATACTGTGTTTCTATCAGTGTTGACATATAATAATGATATATCATTTCTATCATAGAAATTCAGAACATTTTTACTATCTAGAAACATGGCTATTTTATACTTACACTGTTCCCTACACCTCCAAAAATAATTCATAAATACCCATAAAAAGTTATATGTCCAAGTTTTCCTATTAATTTGCTTGCTACTTGCTCATTTATTTTGTTATCCCTTGCTGCTTGCTAAGGAAAAAGTGATAGCAGGCTTTAAAGGTTTAAAAATAACTATGGAAGAACACCAGTGTTCTATGGGCTCTTAGCTTGACAACTAGTGGATTAATGCATAAAATAAATAACATATTGTAAGCTATATCATGTGTAGTAGACGTTTGTCATTTTGTTGTCTTCAAGCATATGAAGCCCTTGCTTCTGTTTGCACTTCATGAATTTTTGCCAACTGAATTTTAGTGCAAGACTGAGCCTACTTCCACTATTAAAATTGAAAATGCCATATACTTGCTTTCACACATGCCCTGGCAGCCTATGCTTATCCAAACAGATGCACCCAGGATTTTGAAAATGGAAGCTAGTGGCACAGAAAAGCAGAGACAAGAAAATTCTTTCTGACAACAGCATAATGGAGGCAACATCTAGTTTCCAAGGGCAGCAAAACCAGTGATTGTCTGGAGTGACCAATCGTGGCATCCAGTCACTACTGAGCAGAGACAGCAGTAATTGTCTCACTGGCATGAGTTTTGCTATGGTTCTGGCTGTTTAGCTCTCTATATTCACATACTTTTGCTAGGGCTTGCTTCATCCAGCTTTCTACCAATTCTGTGAACCACAAAAATAAAAATAAATTTTATTTTTGCTTTAATCAGCCAGAGTCAGCTTTCATTGCTCACAATTAAGAAGCCTAGTAGATATACTAGGACAAACTTCTAAAACTTTAAAAAATGGAAATGTGCCAAATTAAATAAACATGGCCACTAGCAGAAAAACACAGTCAAAATCAATTACTTCAGGGAAAGATTATCAGCTTTTTGCAGACTTGACACACCAGAAGCTTTAAAAAAATCCTGATGCCCACGTTGCAACCCATTCCAATTAAATAAGAATGACTGCTGGTGGAAGTCAGTATTTTAAAAATTCTTCAGATGACTGCAATATGCAGTAAAATTTCGGAGACTATTTTAATAATATAGGCAGAAGATGATGATGGACAGGCCCAAGATGGTAGGGACTGAGGTGGTAAGAAATGGTCAGATTCTGGATATACTTCGAAAATGTACAAACCATAGCAAATTTACTACTGTAAAAATTAAATTAAAGAACACTGGAACACCGAAATTATTATGTATAATTTGTAATACTCACACACCCCATCTCAAACTATCTTAGATAGATTTCTTACTGGGCCAGCTGAAAATAATCTGTGGTCACTGAGATTTCTTCCACCATCATTCTCAAAAGTTTAACTTCTCCCCCTTCTCACTGTGGCCCTATACACTTTGCATATGTTTTGTTTTGCATCAGTGTCAACAGAGATTGATCAAACTGAACCATCATAAATACCAATGTAATTTGTCCAGATTTTTCTGAATTCTAGTCAGTCAAATCTTGTATTTGGAAACTATTAGTTTCCAAAATCCATCTTGTAGCATGCTAAATATTAGATGTCAATAAAGGATTTCAAATTTGCCAGACGCTGTTTTGATTTCCTGAGATGAGTAAGAGTTGACCCCAAGAATGTGTGCATATGTTTAACAAATATTTTTACACATACACACAATAAGGAAAAGGAATAAGGAGTATTTTTAAGTAGTACCATAATAGTGCTTTAAAAGATATTTAACCAGTATTTATTTTCATTTCTAAATTCAAGGAATTACTGAAAGTACAATTGGTTGCCTTCAGATATAATAAGACCTAGCTCATATTTTCTCGTTTTTTTAATCCAAGTTTCTATTGTCAAAACACTTTGAAATTGTAATAGCTTATTCTCATAGACACCCTGTGTTGCTAAAAAGTTTCACTATCAATATTTATTAACACTGGTATATCAGAGTCACCGTATAGTCTTACTTCATACCTAGGTCTCACATATTACTTTAAGAGTATGTTGTATGTACAGAGGTCTTCAGAGTCAGATTTCCCTCTATTTATCAAGGATTGTAGGTGTAAAGAAAAATCTTTAACATCTTGCTTTAAAAGCATCACTACTCTGATCAGATACTGTCTATATACATAGGGGACCTACTCAATTTTAAACATAGTTATTTTTTACTGAATTGTCCCTCATGCAGAAGAGAAGAATTGAGATGAGTTGCCAGTTCTGTAGACTTAAATAGGTATGACATAGGTTAAGGTAAACAGACCTGAGGATTATCTAGGAGTTGGGAAAGAAAGCAAAAATCTTAAATACACTGCAGCATTTAATACGTCTTACTCTTAAAATTAACCTCTCAAGAAACATTTCTTCTTTTTTCTCAGTAGTTTTTTGACTACTCTTCCAAAACCACCTAGAATACCCTTGGCCCCATTTCCCACCCAAGAAAGTCTTTGTGGGTAATCCCATCATTCCATGGTTTTGATTACTTTCTAAATGCTGAAGACTCCTAAATTATATTCCTGTTCCTGACCTATCTCCTAAACTATAGGGTTTATTAACCTAAATGTTTAAAAGGCACCTTAAATTCAAGATGTTCAAAACAGAAGTCATCATTTCCCTTCACCCCCAAACTCCCACCTGTTTCTTCTTCCTATGATCTTTATTTTTCTATACAGCAGCATCATCCATCCAGTCACTGACCAGACATATGGGCTTTCTCTCTCATCCCACAAATCCAATCAATAGACTGAAGTCTATTTAGTTAACATATCTTGTACTGTTTTTCTTCTCAGATTTCATTTCCACACTTTAGTTCAAAATCTCATTATCAAACAAAATGAAGAGATTTCTTTACCTACAATCTTGTCCTCCATCTAGCATTGTCTCAACTATTCAGTGGTTCCCTAGTGCCCACCCCTACTAGTCTTTCTCAAAATTGAGTTGTGTAAGCACCTCTTTTAAAAGGGGAAAAAAAAAATCTCATAGACACACCCAGCCACTGACAAATTTTAAAATCGTATAAATACAATTAGGAATAAACTCTTTATAGCTCTTAAATTATAAAGACAACAAATTCATAAATTAATAATGTTACAAATAATCTTTCGCTGAAATTAAACTACTGTTAACATGAAGATAGCTGTAGACTTGTAGTGTAAGTGGTTCTGATCTGGGCACCCTTCTAGTACTATAAGCAGTGACAGAAATCATTTCTTCTACTACTTTTTTCTATGACAACTATTGAAAAGTCTTTCCACCTTTAGTACCATCTATGGCTTGAACCTTTATTACTGCATCCCATTCACCTCATTATGTCTGTTTCTCCATTCCAGCTATAAGCTCCATGAGGATAACAAACATATCTCATTCATCTGTCTATACTAATGCTTAAGAAGCTGCGTAATAAATGTTTCTAAATAAACAAATGAAAAGTTGTAAATAGTATCAAAAGGACTTGTTGGCATAATATATATATATATAAGTGCCAATTCAAACTCATTTAAAAGGGGGGAGGGAGAAGAAGGGACTTTACTATCCCACTAATTGAAAAATCCAGAGGAATTCAGATCCAGAGATTCACAATGCCATCAGGGCTGAAGTTTCACTTCTCTGCCATTCTCTTGGTTCTGCCCTGTTTTGTGGGTTCCTCAAGCTGCTTCCAATCTTGGCAACAAAAATGACCTCCGCCATTCCTCACCTCACAATTTCATATGACACTATCTAGAAGGAGGGAAAGGGCCTCTTTCAGTAGCTCTTGAGGAACAAAGAGGAAGCTTTTCTTTCCCAGGAGCACTCACTAGCATTTTGTGAGTTGGGCAGGAATGGAGGTGGGGTGGTGGGGGTGGGGAAGATTTAAACTAGATTACGCTAATCAGGTTTAGGAATGAAATCAATTCATCTAATTCCAAAGGGCTGAAAATGAGGGAAGAGTGTAGCCTACTATTAAGGGAAGTAAAAGGGAATAGATGCTAGGGAGGGAATTAATAAATGCCCACCACTACTATAACTATGGACAGATTTTTTTTTAAAGTGTTTTTAAGTGCTGTTTCCCTTCACAG